TAAGCAAATGCCTAATAATCCCTTCCATAGTGTGAAGTCTGAGGGGAGATTGTTGAGCTCGACTCAAATGTGTGTTTAAAACACCCCGAGGTGGACCATGTATTGAGTTGATGAGAAAATGGATTTTTCCAACCTGCTAATGAAGCCCATCCTTTTAGCTGTAGAAATGAGAAGTTGTGAATGTAGTTCAGCAACGTGAGTGGTGGCGCTAAAAGACGGTAAGCTTCCTAATAGTGATGTGTGCACAGACTCAGAAAATGGAGATGCTGTACAAAGGCCCATACTATTCCACAGAAAACCTTTGGTAGAATCAAATCAAAACGGGAGAGCATGGAACCACAACACCTGGTCCATATGCACAAAACTTAAAAATCAATGAGAAGACTCTGCAATGGGTATGTAAAGGTAGGTATCTGTAACATTGAACTTGGTAATCGAAAGACCCAGTGTGAAGTTGAAGAAAAGATTCCGTGGTGAAATGAGAAGGCTGTAGGAAGAGACTGAGAAAAGACAGATCGATGATAGGACACCAATCTCCAGTTATCTTGGGCACCAGAAATAGACGAGAATAAAATCCTTGATGAATGGGATCGACCTTATCAATGGGTAGTCACTGACAATGCCAGCACTGTCCAGACCTGTCTGAAGATCCCAAAGAATACAGGTGGAACCAATTCTGTGAACCAACAGGACGAGATGTCGATGGTGGGGCATGTGACGCGAATGGTCGATCCTCCAGAATTACCTGTTGGAGTAGAAGAGAGTTCAATAAAGAAGACTGCTAATGTGCTGTATCAAGTCGGACTTCGAAAGTTTCAGGGACTTCAGCAAACTAGTAAGGTCGAAAAAGGGCACCTACAGAAAAAATAATGAAAAGTAGTGGATGGCAAACGAATGCCCTACAACAAGGCATCTCAATTTAATAAGTCCCAGCCACAGATCAATCACGACACCAAGGAAAGGCCTCAAGAAAACAAAGGTAACTAGTAAGGGTCCCAGTTCATCATCAAATTGATGAGGACAGTGTTGATATGCTGCACACAGGAAGGGAAAAGAAGTATCTTTATACACTACTAGCCGTGTACCCATCCTTCGTACGGTTTGTGTTTATAAATAATACATTAATTTAACAATTAACAAACAAATTACTTGTAAAATTATTTACATTACATTTTGCATTTTTTATTGTACATTATTATAACAAGGAAATATAAGTTAACAAAAGATACTGTGGACCATGTGTTAACTGCGTCACTTAGGAAAGACGGAAAATATCAAATTGTGATGAGTTGTATTTGTGTGTTTGTAGTGTATCACACATCTGTGAAAAAATTAGTTTTATTTACCGAAGAGCCTCTTGATAGACGACATTGGAAGTACGTCCAACTGGGGCATGGATAAATAGGCTGCGAGAAGATCTGACTCTTGAGCAGGCTACATATAGTTTTTAAACTACAAGGATAGTGTTCATAAAAAAGAAAAAATATAAGAAAGAACGCAGTTCGCGAGTCAAGCGCAAAAGAGCAATGCCGAGTACACGGGCGAGCGACCCTTAGCAAAGAAATACTTCTTTTAAAGAAATATAACCTTAAAAGCAAAAGAAATATAATGTTGCGTCAGCGAGGTCACGTGACTAGTATCACGCCACCTATTTTCTAGAAATATCCTGTTCCTTCGTGAATGCCCTAGAATTTACTAGATTGGGGGTAGCTGGTATATATAAGATGGTCACAACGTGATGGAACAGTGTGTAGGTAATGAGTAATTGAACTGCAGTCACAGGGTATTGTTGAGCTCGTGAGACGTGAATTATAGTTTGTTCCAGCGCGACT